TGAATTCCCTTATGTAGAGCTGTTTCACCGGGATTTGCTTGGCAAACGTCTGATAAAAGTGAAATCCACAGTCTGGCGGAACCCCAAATAAAACATTAATAATTTTACTGTTTACAAACACGTTTTTCAAGCGTTAGCATGATAACTAACAGCACTTTGCTGAAATTTTGTTTTAAAATACATTAAATTAGGTTAAAGAGGTTATATATTTAAAAAAACAAAACAAAGAAAATAAAAGAAAACCCCAAACTTAAGCACAACACCCCTTTCGCACTGTTTTTTGTAATACCAGACTTGCTAGAGAAAAGAAAGAGAGCAAAATTCCTGGCTTAGGAGATGTTGCTGGAGTGCAGGAGAACATCTATAGGACTCGTATCAGTTCAATACATCTATTAAAATGGTGGCAAGTACTCTGACACTTCTGCTTGTGTTTCTGAGCTGCTAGTGCAGCATGTGTATTCTCTGTATCTCTCTTCATGGTGTGGAATAATCCAGCAATGCTTGTTCAGAAAAACATACAGGAAGTATATTTCATAAACTTGATAATACTCATTAACCTGCTCCACCATGTGAAACAGATTTTCCTCATCAGAAAAACTATTTGAAAAACTTGGTTGAGAACTTCTGTCTTCTGTTGCAGAGAAGTCACAGCAGATGTGGAATTCTGAACATCTAGTAGGGGCTTTGGGCACCAAGTCAAATTCCTGCAGCAGCTGGAGAATTTTGGAAAGTGGTCTCTGAACTAATGCTTTCATTATTTTCCCCTTAACCATTGTCAGTCAAGCCCTGTCCTTTCCAGCTTCTCATTTTTCAGGAGCATCAAGACAGGATAAGGCAGTTAAGAAACTTAAACAGCTTCTCTGTCTCATAGTGAGGTTAAAACTGCACCACTAGGTGATATATATTATGCTGTGCTTCGTGCAAGTAGCAAAGATGGCTGCTGGCAGTTATTAGCTTTCAATAAGTAGTCAGCAAAACACACAACGTCCAAGGATGAAGAACTTGCAGTGGGAGTATCTCTGTGGAAAGTGTATAAAACTATTCATAAATTCCTGAAGCAGCACCTGAAACTAGAAGGCTCATGAGTTAAATATCACCCACTGTGCAAACTTCTTAACACACCATCTTTTTGTCTAAACAAGGAAAGAGAGTAGGCTGCTTTCGTGAGACAAAATGGCTACTGTTTTCATTGCACTGAAGCTCTATTTTTGGATCACCTTAAGGAAAAAAGAGAAGTGTGTCTGTTCTCCTGAGAAATTTATGGTTGATGGCAGATGTGCTACTCTGGAACAGCTAAGCCAAGCTGAAATCTTTCAGATTGTTCATCCTCCTTTCCATCAAAAGGTTACCGTTCCCTCAGCTTTTCTAGTAACTTCATGTTCTGCACTCCCTTTTTCACTCAAGGAGATACATTTTAGGTTAATAACTTTAATGGTAGACAGGGGCAGCAACTATGAATGCAGTCAGGTAGAAGATCTGTAATCAATAGCAGGTGATCTCAGTTAATTTTGCCTACAGTCAGATGTCATGTGACAGTAGATGGAGTTGGAGAGTTATTTTCTTTCCTTATTCCTTTGATTCTGCTCATTGTAGGACACTATGTATTCCCTCCAAATTACTTTCCACCACACCAGGAGAGGCAAATGATGAAATGTTGTGAATGGCAAGAATTTACATGATAATTGTAATGAAATTGTTCAATTAGTTGAACAAATCAATGTCCAATCCTTAGAGGATTCTCTGGGAAATTAAAACTTTTCTTTGCCTCCTTAAGGCTGCAAATGGCACAAGTCATTAGGGACTACCCTTCAGGTCACAGCACAGGACACAGAAGACAGGCTTGCAAGAGTAAGACTAGATGCTTGCATGCTGAAAAAAACAGTTCTTCACACAACTCTGCTTTTATGGCTTTCAGTTTAATTCACTTTCATAGCACCAATACAAGGCTGCATTTCAAATTCCTGTGAGAGCAGTTAGATAGACTTCTCGACTCATCAACTAAAATCTTCTAATGGCCAAGAACCACAACATACATTTGGATTCTAAGAGTGGCTCAGAGGCGAAAGTTGATGGTGAATTTGCTGGGATACACAGAAACAAGAGTTTTGATCCAACCAACTTTCTGTTCAGCTGCATTTCAGGATGTTAAGTCTCTGCTGCCTTGTTTCCATCCACAGTCTGAAATTCAATTACACAGCAGTTTTCTTGCAGAACAGTTGGGCAGTCCTGCTGCTAGCCACACAATTTGGCTTAGGCTCCACTTGAACAGGAAGTACAGGGTGGGATTTATGTGTAGCTTGTTTTGTACTGTTCTCACATGGGGAAGCTATCTCTGCTGTTTTCCTTGCAATTCAGCAGTTTTTCCAAGCATGAGCTATAAATATCCCTGGAGTTTGATGTTAACCAGTGTTTCAACTATGAAAAGGATGGTCCCAACTTGATTTAAGTAGAATCAAATTTAAAGAAAAAGAAAAACAAAGAAACAAAACAAAACAAACCAACAAACCAAAACCAAACAAAAATACCCCAAAAACCAAACCAAAACAAAAAAAAACTTAAAAAAAATCCAGACGAAACCCATAAAACAAACAAGCAAACAAACAAAATCAACCTAGGATTAAAAGCAGTGAATTTTTTAAATGTATTGTATGGGAGATTGTCCGTGTGGTTTATTCTGCTCGGTGTCCTTTGCTCAGCAAGTATTTCATACCTCTCTCAGCAGGTCAGGAGGCCCACTTTACATCGTTCCCCACAGAAGGCGCGTAGCCAGTCACATGAAGACCAGCACGGTTTGTTTTGGGCAAGGGTTATGCATACATTTTGTCACCACTTTGGGCTGCAAAAGTATGGAAGCAAACGGGTGAGCTTCTTTTTTTTTGTTGGTTTGTTTGGCGTTTTTTGTTTTGTTTTGTTTCTCACTAGCGGCCTCTCATCAGCCATCACCAGCAAGTGAGAACCTTTTCCTCCCAACACTCAGTTCATGCTTCTCCGTTCCACGACCCCACAGCGGAGCCTGGGCTGACACACACTGCCGGCCGGCTCCCGCCCCGCGGCTCCCTGGGAGCCGTAGTCCTTGCGCTGCGCAGAGGCCGGGGCGGCTTCCTCGTCGGAGCCGCCGCGGGAACTACGCGTCCCGGCACCCCTGGGCTGTCCCCCCGTTGCGCGTTACTCTCTGTCGCCGCCGCGGGGCCGCCGGAGCGGAGCAGGTACAGGAGCCGGGGCAAGCGGCGAGGGCAAGGCAGGCAGGGCGGCTCGGCGGGAAGCCGTGGGGGGGTCTCAGGGTGTGGAGCGCGGCAGAGCAGCACGGTGCGCGGTGGCCGCCGCCCCCCCGCCCCCCACAGCCCCGCGCCGGCTCAGCCCGGGGCGCCTGCGGGGCGGAGGGGCCGAGCGGGAGCCGCTCTGGCGGCGGGAACTGACCGGCCACGCCGTATTTGGTTCGCGGGAACGTGGGCAGATCGTCAGAGCAGTGTCGGAGGTACAGGAACGGCATGGAAGCTTCTCGGGCGGTCCGTGGAGCAGCGAAATGCTTGCATCAGTTTTCACGGGCCTGAGGGAGATCCCGTTAAGCTTAAAGCAAAAATGGTGTTTAAAATGTAAGTTAGCTCCTAAGGTGATAGTTTTATGTTCTTGTGAGTATTTATTTACAGTCCCCACAAATATATATGTATACACATAAACAAATAATACAAGCTTTACCTGTTGAAGACAAAACAAGTTCGGTTTCTTCTTAATTTTACTTAAATTTATCATATGGCAGTGACCATATACTCCTTGGTTCAGAGTTACACAAAAGCTCAGCAGTAGTTCAGCTTGTACATTCAAGAGTCTTTTTTTCTCAAAAAGTTGCTAACTTCCATTGCTTATACAGTTTTACTCACCTTTGACCAATTTAGTTACAGGAGAGCGTGAACAAACTAAGGTGTCCATAAGGTGCCATGAGAGATCGTGTACTGTGCCCGTTTTAAGGAGCTCTTAATATATGCTGCTACTTTCAGGACCAGTATAGAATCCTTCAGTGCCTTCTGATGGAGGATTCGCTGCCCCAAAAGAGGAACTGAGGAACTCTGCTGTCTTGTGCTCAAGTTCTTGTCTTTCGGTGTAGACTTATTTCTCATACTTTATGTATGCTCAGCCTGCAGCTTACTTGAGATTTGTGCCTTGAGCTTTATTCATCCACTCGCCTGCTCAGAATCTAAGAGGAGACCAGGTTACACTAATTGGCACTTCTAACAATAATCTTCCTTATTTGAACGAAATACTTTGATTAGCCAATTCTGGTGTTTAAACCAAGAGTATGAGGTGAGTTTTTAGGACTACTGACTTTAAATAAGATTTGAAGCATAAATAGCTCTCGGTGCTCCAGCTGCTGTTTTTCTAGCACCATGATGGCATGATAGAGGCTGTGGGGGTAGTGATCCTCTCTGCCTTCCTCCTCCTGCCCACTATGGGAGGTTCTCTGGTCAATACCAGTCCTACAAAGCGGGTAAGCACAGTCTGTGTTCACAGGATGGCTGGGATGACTGACTGACTGACTGAACACAGTTTGTTCCTGCTGTGGAGTAAACGTGATTGGTAACCCTCTTGCATGGCCTGGCCTGTCACTCTGAATGATCTGTCAAGGTGGGTGTCTTAAAGCATCAGCACACACATGTCAGTAAC